GTCAAAATATTGGTGCTAGAAAGCTAGATTATCGTAAAAACCGTTAATCCGCTACTACCGGATCGCGAGATATCTCGTCAAAAGCGTTGATCGGCCAGTATCGGGTCGCGAGGTATCTCGTCAAAAGCGTTGATCGGTCAGTATTGGGTCGCGAGATATCTCGTCCAAGGTAACGAAAGGGTTAACAGGTTAATCAATGAAATTAAACCATTTTCGTTCGTTTCGTCATCTTAGAGACAAAATCTCGTTATTCTAGTTTGTCAGATATCGTTCGTGTTCGAGTTTTTGTTCTCCACGCTAAACGTCTGATTCTTTAAATAATATTTTACATTCGTGAAAAGGTATTGCTCAAAATATAGATTAATCAATTGAAGCTGAACTATTTTCCTCCGTTTTGTCATTTCAGAGACAAAATATCATTGATATTCTAGTTCCCTAAATATCGTTCATATTCGAGGTCGTATTGTTCTCCACGCCAAATGTCTGAAAACCCTGTTATCATAAAATAACAGCTAATATCGAATCAAATATTCTACATTCATGAAAAGATATTGCTCAAAACATAGATTAATCAATGAAACTAAACTATTTTCGTTCGTTTCGTCATCTTAGAGACAAAATGTCATTATTCTAGTTCGTCAGATATCGTTCATATTCGAGTTCGTATTGTTCTCCACGCCTAATGTCTGAAAACACTGTTATCACAAAATAACAGCTAATATCGAATCAAATACTCTACATTCATGAAAAGATATTGCCCAAAACATAAATTAATCAATGAAACTAAACTATTTTCGTTCGTTTCGTCATCTCAGAGACAAAATATCATTGATATTCTAGTTCCTCAAATATCGTTCATATTCGAGTTTGTATTGTTCTCCACCCCTAATGTCTGAAAACAGTGTTATCACAAAATGACAGCTAATATCGAATCAAATATTTTACATTCGTGAAAATGTATTGCCCAAAACATAAATTAATCAATGAAGCTGAACTATTTTCCTTCGTTTCGTCATCTTAGAGACAAAATGTCATTATTCTAGTTTGTCAGATATCGTTCATATTCGAGTTCGTATTGTTCTCCACGCCAAATGTCTGAAAACACTGTTATTACAAAATAACAGCTAATATCGAATGAAACATTCTACATTCATGAAAAGATATTTCTCAAAACATAGATTAATCAATGAAGCTGAACTATTTTCCTTCGTTTCGTCATCTCAAAGACAAAATGTCATTATTCTAGTTCGTCAGATATCGTTCATATTCGAGTTTGTATTGTACTCCACGCCAAATGTCTGAAAACACTCTTATCACAAAATAACAGCTAATATCGAATCAAATACTCTACATTCTTGAAAAGATATTGCCCAAAACATAGATTAATCAACGAAACTGAACTATTTTCCTTCGTTTCGTCATCTTAGAGACAAAATATCATTGATATTCTACTCGTCTCTCAGAATCTTTTACCCGCGATACGGTGCAAGCTCGTCACGGGTAGACTCGAAAGAAATCTGCTTTTCAGAAATTTCGTTAATGCCCGGTTTAGCATAAACTGAAGTGCGAAAGATAACGGGATTTATGCGTGGAAATAAAGAGCTAATGCCCAATAACATTTCTGACGTAATACGCGTGACGATGACGCATTTGTTATACAAAAGGGTTTTAAAATGGATACTATGAACGCCATTAGGAAAGAAAAAAAACACCAATGAAATGAAGTCGAACGCAGACTTGGGCGAGTAAAGAATATTTGTATGACTTGCTAAATACCGTTAATTAAGGCCGGGGTCACATGAGAGTTTTTCAATGTTCGTCGCTACGAATATACTTTGCAATGAACATGACGCGATCCTAGTATCATAGAATAATTTCTAAATATTTCTTTGTAATCTCTGCTAAATATCTCAAGCGACAGGTTTTTTAAGATTTCTTGTGGATTTAATTCGAAGATATCCGAAATATTTGTTGNCCATCATCCGCGCTTCCGGAAGCGCGGAGGATGTCCACCCTGTGATATATCCGCGATTATATAAATTTTCTTTTAGCAATAAAATTAATTAGACCGCGCTTGGGAATCGAATAAATGTGCAATACGCTCGAACTGCGCATCCTCGGATCGCAGGTCGTCGTTTTGCTAGCTTTTGGATCTCCCCGCGAGTGATTTTTTTTTTATTAATCCGACAAATCAGGGGATTGCCAAGCGTTCGAGACGTAGGGGGCTCTGCCCGAAGAGACTGCAAAAGTCGAAGAGGCTACATGCCGAAGCGGCCCCTTAAGAAGAGGGCAACTACGATGGTCTTCTGTTTATTTCGAACGGACAATCATCATTTTTTTTGGCCACGCTGTCCCTCTAATTTTGTTCTATGTCATTCCGTCAGAATTGACGGGGATGAGACGGCGAACAGTCATTTTGATTATAATTTGTCGAGTTTGTATTTATGGATATTGCGTACATAGAGATATGAAAAATTTATGGATATTGCATTCATAGAGATATGAAAAATGTATGGATATTGCTTACATAGAGATATGAAGAATTTATGGATATTGCTTACATAGAGATATGTAGAATTTATGGATATTGCGTACATAGATATGAAAAATACCAGTTCACTCAATTTAACGAAATCGAAGTCCAATTAATATCCTTGACTTTTAGTAACATATTCGCCGTCTGATCTCAGACGTCCTGGATTTTTTTCAATGTCCTGTCTCGCATGTTCTTTTGTGCCCCTTTCCAGGTTTAGGTGGATCACAACAGGATCTTTTATTTTTTTTTCAATCCATGGGTAGTTCATCGCCGCAGATATTGCTGGACTTGTTGGTAAGAGATGTTAAAAGATGTTAAACGATGTTTGTTATCACAGAGATGAGTTGGGAGCAGAGATGAGGATTGAAGTGCGCCCCCACAAGGGGGTATCAGGTGGTAAGTGCATTCCGCGCCGAAGGCAGCACAGGACGCGATCTCTCAACTCATCTCTACCCGTGCTTGAAAAAATGTCTCAAAATCTTCCTGAATCTCAACAGCCGGTACTCGTTTCCATTTCTCGATTCCCTAGTCGCGAGTCAATGTCCTGCCGCGGTCTAGGGGAAACGACCAATCAGATCTTGATCCGATCTTTCGTCGAGCGCCGGGAAGTCGGACGACCCTTCGACTTCGGGACCATCGGTTTCGAGGAGTTTCATCGCTTAATTCTAAAAAGACGCGGGAGAAGGGTTTTGCGAGGAGCTGGACCCTAGTCGAGGAGGCCTTTTGATGTTTTTGCGCGGCATCTTAGAGCCGCCGCCTCGACGAGGGGACGACGTCAGATATTCCAGGAATTTTCGGCCAAGCCTTCCACTACCCTGGGGCCATAGTGCGAGCTGGGCTTGACTTTTCTCTATTCATGAAATTGTGAAGTATCGATGTCAAGTAGAGTCAATAGCTCGTTTTAGCAATATCAAAATTAATCAGCTTAAGATTTTTTCAGCTTCATCAACGGTAGGTGCTTCTTTCTGTGTCCGCGTTCTTTGCTGGCCCTCGCCCTTCAACTCCTCCAGGAGCGAGTCGAATGGGTCGGGGCCAGGAGACGTGGTAAATAAATATTTTGCAATGTCCATCGATTGCGGGTACTCCTATAACTTTTTTAAAATTCAACCGGCGATGGCAATCGATAATGTGTATGTGAACGAAAATTGAACTCGGGGGTCGGTGGCATCCAGGGATGTGCTCTCTGGGAATAGGCTCTTTGCCCCCGGGTGGAATGTGAAAGAACCGTGGAGCGAGTCTGTTGGAACGAATGTGATTGTTCTTTTAGATGTAGCTAAGGAGGTAGGATAGTTATTTGGAGTGAACTACTAGATGTAAGCAGGCAGGGCCACGGCAAGATCTCTTCCCGGAGATTTGGGAGGAGATCCTGGACCTGGGATACTTTTTCGTCGTTCGCGCTCCTGGGAGTGCGAAGAATGTCAGTCCTGCGTCCGCGGTTCTACGCCGAGGGTAAGAATTACTTTCCAGTTTTTCTTATCCTTTTGTGCCCCTTTCTAGATTTAGATGGATCACTTAACAGGATTCTTTTTTTTTCCAATTCATCTTTCAGTTCATCGCCGCAGAGCTTGCTGGACTTGTTGGTAAAAGATGTTAAAAAATGTTAAAGGATGTTGCATATATCTATGTAGATTTACGCTGGGTGGTACAAGAAATGATACGTGGTTACGTATGCTACTATTTATTTGATGACAAATTATGACACTACGGGTTCGGTGATTATTTATACACAGCAAGCATATAGGGGATGATGTGAGAAGTACTATATGTGACGGCAACGTGTTACGTTTTCATGATATTTGCATTTTTTCATAATATTTGCACATTTCTGTGACATTCACTTCGTAAATGTCCATCCTATACTTACAGTTGAAAGAATATTTAGCTGTAGTTACTAAAAAAACATGTGTCAATATATGATAGTAGATAAAACATAGTTTACAGCTCCTAGAACTATTTGAGATGTTTTTCCAACAAAATTATTTAACAATAGAAACCATAGGAAATGTGACTTACGAAGTATATTATCAGTTACCATAGTTATTACACTATAAAGATTAAGTTTCAAAAACGTTTTTATACCAGTGCCATGAAGTGAACATTTTACTTAATACAACCAATTACCAATTTCTGTTGCCGTACTTTTATTTGGTGAAACCGATTAAAAAAAATCGAGAAAGAGAACAAAGTACTTCGTTTATTTGCTAAATATATACATTAGAATTATTTTATAACATTTAGAACTTCACCTAATATAAACCTGCTAGAAATAATGCTTTCTTTATATGAAAACTTACATACAAATTATTGAATTATTTGTGAAGAAAAGAGAAATGAAGATAAACAACGGTTGTTCGTACGTGCTAATTACAGTTTGGCTACTATTATTACATACTTAAGTACAAGCTACATTGTCCTTTGTATTTATTTTAAACTAGGACGATTGATAGGTAACTGGTTCCACCTAAGGGACAGCTTATTGGCAGATGAGCATATTGCAATCTGCAAATCGCGTCTGTGCTTATGATTGAATAATACAATATAACCTAATTTTAAAATACCATCTAACTGCAGAAGAATATACAACTATATAGCACCGTGAATAACAATAACCGTTTCTCTATTTAGATACTTATATTTATGAACATGTTTACGCAATGTAAATGAAGTAGTAAAACTAAAAGAAGGGATCTAATTCCTTGCTTCACTTGCATCCTAATTATTAAACCTTCATACCCCTGTAGATGTCATTAAAAACTCTGAAGCTTTTATATTATACTTGTTAAATGTAATATATTTGGTACGTAGTGGTAAACAATTTTTCCTCCTTTCCCGTATGAAATAGAAAACAATTAGACGTCTATCACGATGGATCATACTGTTTAAATAAGAAACTAGACCGTTCTATCTGGTTGCATTGAAGTTTTACGACTTCTTCTGTTTAATAGACAACTCTCGAAAACCAATATGAAGAAATTATTAACCTCTATTGTGAGTTAGATTAAATTCTCCATGTGAAATTCTACCAAAAATCATCATGAAGATTATAAAATATAATTTGACATTAAATGTCATGGATGTATAATGCCTTAGACTGTCATGATTAATTTAGACAGAACTATGTCAACGTGTATCAGTGGTATAAATTGTCATTGAGTCAGCGTTCATAACCTAATACACATAAAAATAAAAATGATCTCTATAAATATCATCTCGAAATTCAAGCGATATTTCTTAAACTACCTAAGTTATTAATCTACTTCTAACTTTCGGAAGGAACCGGAAATACCACCTAAACCTTCACCAGAAGCATTGCGGATTTCCTTTTGTGATAACTCAATTTGCATATCATCGAGGGCCTTTAATTCGTGCTTTTTCGCTTGTAATTTTTTCTTGAACATAGCTGTAAATTAAATAATATTTAGTATAACACTGTGAAGAGTCTCAATTTCAGCCTCAATGGCTTCGGAAAATTCGAAACTGATATTCCAGCTACGAAAATTTAATTATTTTCCTTCTCAATATTTTGAACGCAACTTAGGTATAGAATAACACACAAGTATAGAAAATTATTATCTCCTTACCAATCATTTCAGAAAGTGGAACCTTCCCTCCATATTCTTTTGGCAAAATTGTCGGATCGATAGCTCGATGTAAGTCCCGAAGATCTTTATGAATCTGAAAAAAAAATTATAATTTGTAAATAGTTGTTCCGTATCGTTAGGATTACTCTTACTTTATTGTTACGCCAGCGCTATAACTTACTAGGACTCGACCTTTTAATTTATCATTCATAAGAGAGATGACAAATTCGATGAGTTTCATGGCGCAATTAGGTATGTTGATGAAATGCGTCTCTTTATGGCGCATTGGTGTGCTGTTTTGTATGCATCTTGACATGTTACGAATGTCCGTCAGCGACCAAGCACTTATGTGGCCCATTGTCAATCCCGACTCGTCATTGATGTGAGTATATCCGTGAACCTGATTTTCTTCATCATCCAAAAGCGCTTCTACGACGATACTGTGTACCCGAGCCATTTCCGCAGAAGTATACTTGTAAGGATCAAATCGTCCTTAAAAAAGAACAGCATCATTTTATAAGGTGACATGACAAAGTCAGCCCCCCACTGAACAATAAACTTAACAGTTACGTAACTCAAAACTAATAAATAACATAACGTTTGTTACAATTTAATAACCTAACAGTTACGTAATATAGAGCTAACTAGTTACATGACATTTGTTACAATGCAGTAACTTAACGGTTATGTAACATGGAGCCAACAGGTTACATAACATTTGTTACTATCATATCTATATAAATGTAGCGTAACTTTGTTACTCTTATCTTACATTATATTACTGTCCTGATAGTACTGTGTATATGCAGTACACATTTGTAACAAAACAGAACTACATTGGTGCTGTCATCTATTTTATTACATCATCGTCATCGTCATTGTCATAATTTATCGTCAAATGTCATAAGTTTAATATATGTCATATTTTAATTACTACTCGTATGAAAAAAATGTGACTTTAATTCATACGCTCATATACATTATCAGTAATTGTTTGCTAGTCAAATGAAATCATCTGTCTTTAAATAAAATCAGATAGTTTATTATTCACATAATTTCATTTAAAGTCTGATTTATTATATAATACCTAACTATTGCCAAGTGCCACAAAATAATACAAAATAAAAAAATTACATAATTTTTTATTAAACTGCATCATTTTTTTATTAAATGTTTGAAAAATTAATATTATTTTAAGGTAACTGAACTTATAATATTAATATAACCTGTTACATAACATGTTACCTTATTGAGTGGGAAATAATAACAAACATCTAACTTCCATGTTACTTTTATGCTAGATAAGATGTTAGCTTCGAAAACGTAACATTTACCTAACAGTTATGTAAGAGTATTCAATGGGCTATATATATCTGAGAAGTCAAATTGTTTGGGTAAGTATTCTTCGAATTGGGTGTACCGATTCGTTTTACCGTTTCGTTTAATTTTACCACGTGAACAAGGAGACCCTAAAGTAGGTCTTGAAACTCACGAAATTTCATTTTTCATAAAAAATTAATTTATTTATCATGGACTAGAACCAACATGGTGTGGTGTTGGCACGTTTTCGATGTTTTACGCTTCTTGGAGCCTTACAATTGAAAATGTAGAGTTTCAGGACATGGCTCGAACAATTTAGAATACCGTATAAATAGAATATCACATAGTCAGATGGGAAAATATGGGAAACACTTTCACCAACGATTGCAAGAGAATGCTGGCTTGTCTCGGAGCTAACACGTGTTTTTAGAGCAAAAATTTAATTGCAGCAAAACGTCACAGATGGCGACGTTGGTCCTAAACAGTCGTTAGAATATTGAATTCACGAAATTTCGACAGTTTTACATGGATCTCTTCGTCATTACTTTACTGAAACGACATACGGAACGCTTCAGTTCCTATAATTATCAACGTAGACTATAAATACTTCAATATAAATATAAATATCGGTAACGGGACGCGCCAGCTTGTTACCACTTGAGTATTCAAAATGACTGCCACCAAAAACGGGTATAAATGAATTTTAATTTATCGACCCGGATTAAATTTCTCAGCGCTTTTCATATCTTAAAGATAATAATTTCCATTTCACGATTTTAACCGAGTTACCACGTAGTTACTAATTCGTAGGAAATGGGTACCACAGAACTGGTCAACAATCTTACCGGCGCAAGAAAGTATAACTTGGCGGCCATGTTGGTCTCTCTCTAGCATCGGTACCAAGTATCCACCATCGAGGATGGCCTCAATAGCGGGGTCATCGACGTCTAGGTTTTGAAACCAATTTGGGTAGAGTTGCCTGATGGTGAGGTAACGCTCTAGCATTTCCTGCGCCAACGGTACACTGAATTTCTTTGTTCGTAGGAATCTGAGAAGAAAGACCGCGTCCGTTCGACAAGACTTAATGGAAGGATGTTTCGCTATCCATTCTCGAAGCTGCGTTAATGCGTGCTCCCTGGTGTTTTCATCTTCCCTGAGTTCGGTCATGGCAGCAGCCTTGGCCTCGGTACTGAGTCCGCACTCATATTCGAGTTCGTCTTGTTCTTCCACGCCCATTGTCTGAAAACAGTGTTATCATTAAGTGATTTAGCTAACATCGAATCAGATATTCCATATTCATAAAGACATTGCCCAAAACATGGATTAACCTGTTAACCGGGTATGATGATATTTTTCGTCATACCAGGAAGACACCTCAAAGGGGCATGACGACTTTCTTCGTCATGGAAAGCGTGATAATATTACAATAAAGTTCCCATTGTGAACGAATTGTACAATAGTTAATTCCCTGGTTAACCCTTTCGTTACCTTGGACGAGATATCTCGCAACCCGATTCTGGCCGATCAACGCTTCTGACGAGACATCTCGCGATCCGGTAGTAGCTGTATTTATTTCTTCCTTTTAGCTATACGAATAGAATTAGTTGTAAAATATATTCATCTAGAATGTCAAAATATTGGTGCTAGAAAGCTAGATTATCGTAAAAACCGTTAATCCGCTACTACCGGATCGCGAGATATCTCGTCAAAAGCGTTGATCGGCCAGTATCGGGTCGCGAGATATCTCGTC